TGATAGGAAAAAATGTTTTAATTTTCATGTTTTCTTTTTCTGAAAACATAATATCTTCCGAACCTCCTTCATCAAAAAATACAGCAATTTTTTTTTGTCTTTTCAAATCATTGGGAAACAAATCTATTTCACAAATACTTATAGCTTCATTTAATATAGTTTCAAAATTATTTCTTAATTCACAAATATATAATTCAAGTGATGTGTATAATTTTACCACCGATGATAAATCCATATCAACACATTGTAAACTTTTGCTGGTCATGTTGAATCTTTCTAATATAGGTGTCCACAAGACTAACATAGGTTTTTCATTTTTTTGAATAGAGCTAATGCTTCATGTCTTGTAGCAGGCCTCTGACTTACATCTTCTGATATATTTTGTAATGCAACAACAATCTTTTTATAACCATTTTTTATTGACTTGCAAACAAAATATCTTGATGACCATCTTGTAGGACATAAATTTTTAAGCAATGTTGAATTAGAAATAGAATTAAGTTCATTTTCTAAGATCTTCCAACGTGATGTAGAACCAGAAAAAAAAGTATACAAACTTTGAGTGATCATAAAAAACCGATTACCTACACTAGTCTCTTCAGCTGCAAATGTACCAACTAAATTCAGTGAGTGCGCCGAACAAGGCACAAATTCAGCAGTAGAAGAGCTTTTTTTTATACGGGATTGTAATCCATTATAAATTCCAGACATATTTTGAGCATTGTCATAACTTTGTCCTCTACAGTTTTTCATGTCAATCCCAAGATCAGAAAAAAAAGTGAAGTATAGCCAATTCCATATCTTTTGCCTTATGACCAACCGAAGGTAAAAATCCCAAAAAACGTTCAACAGGTGAACCGTCTGGTAGAATATATCTTATTGCAACTGTAAGTTGTAAACATCCAGTCTCAACTAAACAATAAATTAAGTAATTATAATAAATATAGGTCCACAATTAAATTAAATATGATTTTATTAATTAGAATTTATAGATCTATTAATTATTTTTTTGGTACCCACCTGTCTCTAATTTAAAAAAATAATTTTGCAATTTAGGCATTTTTGAAACAAGCAAAGCATTTTTTTGAGCATTTTCTTTTGCTCTCTTCCTATTTTTACTGCCACTAGCTTTCTTTTTTCCAACTTCATTCACTGACTCCATAACGACAATAAGGAATAATTCAACGTGCAAATACTTAACTATAGTAAGTTATCAACAAGCCATTAGCCAATATAAATAAAATATAACTTATAAGCCAAATTACACGAGTCATAAAAAAGCATAATAATATAAAATAAACTGTAAATACTTACTAAATTATTAGCAATTGTAATTTACGTCAATTATAAAAATAAAACGCGCACAACGTATAATAACTTATAAGTTATAACTAGGTAATGTCCAATAGGCAATACTGAATAACTGAGCACTGTATACAGAGTCTGTACAGACGTCAGATAGTAACGGTTAGAACAGACATATTGTTCAATGGTAATATAAAATATTAATAATATTATAGTATATAAGTATATTATACTAATAACGGTTATCTACTGTAGTAGATAGGATAACGTTGATACTAATAATATCAATTTAATAATATTTAGCTATATAATCGGTAAATAATATCTAAATACGGAGAAATGGGTTTTTCTTTATCACCGTCGCCGTCACCAAGCCAGCCTATTTGTCACAAACAGTACCATATTATACATGATTCTAAAATAGACCTTAAAATACTAAAATATATATAATAATAAAATTATAACATATTTGGTTCTCGAGGCCACATGTAGTATATTAAGCGCAAATAAAGGCGCCCCATTATTTTTACAAAACTACGGCGCCCGGGGGCAATTGCCCCCTTTGCCCCCCCCTTAACACGTGTCTGATTGTATATCTGCACAAGACTGAAATGGCCTTCCCGCGCGAGCCACTGCACATACTATTTTTTGTCACGCCCCTGCGTTCATGGAAAAGGTTATGCAGGGATCTATGCGTCATGCAAGGAGGTTAAACTATACATTTAAGATGTAACCAAAAGTTTATGTTTTGTAAGAACCGTGGTAGGTATACATTTTAGTTTCTGGTTGCGGCAGCCGGCACTTTTGGGGATTTCTTCTTTTCCACCCGGCACTTTTGGGGATTTCCTCTTTTCCGCCCGGCACTTTGGGGATTTCCACTTTACCGCCCACTGGACGGAAAAAGGACGCTTTCGAACTTCGAACGCTTCAACCGCTATCGAAAACCAAATTTACGGTGCAGGTGTGACAAAAAATAAATTATCTACTTACAATTCAATACTTATTGAAAATATACTTATTAGTTATTACTTATATATTTTATTAATTAAAATAATTATAAATACATAGGTAATATGCGCAGTTTTGTGATATATTATCAATGATTTTATTATATTATAAATATACGCAAGATATTTATAAATTATAAATTATTAATCAATCGCGGACCATCACTACAACTTACCGCTCCCGTTTTAGATTCTGAGTGAAACGATATATGTGTAATAAAATATAGTCAATACAGTATTTTGTTTCTGATAATAGTTGGCTATAATATAATAGACTATAGGTACCCATAGTAATATAATAGGAAATTTAACCGACAAAAATAAATCAAATAATAATAAATCATCGTACAAAAATCGAACGAACCCCAAGTAGGTTACCTTATACTTACTAACACTCATTTAAACACAGTCAGTGGCAGTGTACACTCGCAGTGGTAAAAGTTATTGTGATTTATCAGTATAGTATAGGTATATAGTAACTATATTATTTTCAGCT